GGCAGTTAGTCAGTCCCACCCAGTGTCAGACTGCTGATCGCCACCATTACTAGTACTAAAAAAAAAAAATTCCAGTATCTTTACCTCCATTTGTAGACACTATAACTTTCACGTAAACCAATTAATTTACATGTATTGGGATTTTTTTTAGCAAAGACATGTAGCAGAATACATTTTTGCCTAAATTTATGACTAAATTAGATTTTTAAAAAATGTTTACTGGGCATGTTTAATAGCAAAAAGTCAAAATTATTGTTTTTTTTTTCAAAATTGTCAGTCTTTTATTTATAGCGCAAAAAAAATTTAAAATGCACAATCAATCAAATACCACTGAGAAAAAGCTCTATTTGTGGGGAAAAAAGACACACATTTCATTTGGGTGCAGCATTGCATGACCGCGCAATTGTCAGTTAAAGTAACGCAGCGCTGTATCACAAAAAATGTCCTGGTCAGGAAGGGGGATAAATCCTCTGGAGGGCGAGTGGTTAAGCATTGTTTTGAATGGCAGGCCCAAGTCTCATTAGCTTCCATGTTGTAAGACCAAAGGCCGCTATTCCCCCAGTCACCAGTCTTGTCACTTCCTCTCTGTAGTCCTTTGTAGGAACAGTGACGCAACCATGTCTCCACTCGTTGCAGAGGGGGGGGTCTGGGCTCCCGGTCTGAACCGCCCATTGTTGCAGCATCATTACATTGACAGGCAAGGAGATTCCTGGTCTGTTCCACCTCCAATTACCTCACACAGTGATTGACAGGCTAAGAATCTCTGGATCTGTCATGGCTCTCAATGCCTGCGAATGGTAGGCTATGCAAAGATGAGCACTAGGCTCAGTGTAAGCGCCTCTCCTCACACACTGTTGTGATATTGGACTGCTAGGAGCAAGTACAGTAAAAAAATAAAGAAAATAAAAACTCAAAATCTTTTGTTGTGTATGTTATGTAATAATTACAATATCACACAGTATAATAATGGTATAAATAAAATGTGAGCATGTCTTGGGGACATGTACACAAGCCCACAATCCTGCCCATTCACTACAATTTCCATGGCATCAAGGGAACTGTAGTTTCTCATAGTTGTGTCGTGAGAATGCAGAATCTGCTATTTTTTTCATTGGCGTTGTGATGTCACCGATATTCTTTTCAATTTATCATCTAAAAGGTGAGGTTTATATCTAACGTGATCAAAGTTTATAGGTTTAGGCAATACTACTGATTGCTAGTTTTAATTAGTATCCCCAAGTTAAGCTTTAAATGGTATCTGTGTTCCTGTTAGAGATTTACCTCACCTAGACAGGAAGTGATGGAAAATCTCCCATTGAGGAAAAAATCTCCCAAACAGGACACTAGCAGCTGGTGTATACTGACTTCATCACAATATTCATGCATTAAATATAAATGCCACTCACTGCACAGCTGCTTCCCCATTATGCTGAGTGGCCGGGTCTTATGTTCTTCTCAGTCATCATTTGCTAAGCATACAGATACAGGTGAAACTCAAAAAATTAGAATATCGTGCAAAAGTTCATTTATTTCAGTAATGCAACGTAAAAGGTGAAACTAATATATGAGATAGACTCATTACATGCAAAGCAAGATAGTTCAAGCCGTGATTTGTCATAATTGTGATGATTATGGCTTACAGCTCATGAAAACCCCAAATCCACAATCTCAGAAAATTAGAATATTGTGAAAAGGTGCAATATTCTAGGCTCAAAGTGTCCCACTCTAATCAGCTCATTAAGCCATGCCACCTGCAAAGGGTTCCTGAGCCTTTAAATGGTCTCTCAGTCTGGTTCAGTAGGAATCACAATCATGGGAAAGACTGCTGACCTGACAGTTGTGCAGAAAACCATCATTGACACCCTCCACAAGGAGAGAAAGCCTCAAAAGGTGATTGCAAAAGAAGTTGGATGTTCCCAAAGTGCTGTATCAAAGCACATTAATAGAAAGTTATGTGGAAGGGAAGAGTGTGGGAAAAAAAGGTGCACAAGCAGCAGGGATGACTGCCGCTTGGAGAGGATTGTCAGGAAAAGGCCATTGAAAAGTGTTGGGGACTTTCACAAGCAGTGGACTGAGGCTGGAGTCAGTGCATCAAGAGCCACCACACACAAGACGGTTCCTGAACATGGGCTTCAAATGTCGTATTCCTCTTGTCAAGCCACTCCTGAACAACAAACAATGTCAGAAGCGTCTTACCTGAGCTAAAGAAAAACAGACCTGGTCTGTTGCTCAGTGGTCCAAAGTCTTCTTTTCTGATGAGAGCAACTTTTGCATCTCATTTGGAAACCAAGGACCCAGAGTATGGAGGAAGAATGGAGAGGCCCACACTGCAAGATGCTTGAAGTCCAGTGTGAAGTTTCCACAGTCTGTGTTGATTTGGGGAGCCATGTCATCTGCTGGTGTTGGTCCACTGTGCTTCATTAAGTCCAGGGTCAACGCAGCCATCTACCAGGAGATTTTGGAGCACTTCATGCTTCCTTCCGCAGACGAGTTTTATGGGGATGCTGACTTCATTTTCCAGCAGGACTTGGCACCTGCCCACACTGCCAAAAGCACCAAAACCTGGTTCAATGACCGTGGGATTACTGTGCTTGATTGGCAAGCAAACTCGCCGGACCTGAACCCCATGGAGAATCTATTGGGCATTGCCAAGAGAAAGATGAGACATGAGACTGAACAATGCAAAAGAGCTGAAGGCCGCTATTGAAGCATCCTGGTCTTCCATAACACCTCAGCAGTGCCACAGGCTGATAGCTTCCATGCCATGCCGCATTGAGGCAGTAATTGCTGCAAAAGGGGCCCAAACCAAGTACTGAATACATACAGTGAGGAACAGAAGTATTTGAACACCCTGCGATTTTGCAAGTTCACCCACTTAGACATCATGGAGGGGTCTGAAATTCACATTGTAGGTGCATTCCCACTCTGAGAGACAGAATTTAAAAAAAAATTCAGGAAATCACATTGTATGATTTTTAAAAAATTTATTTGTCTTGCACTGCTGAACATAAGTATTTGAACACCTGAGAAACAGCAAGAATTCTGGCTCTCAAAGACCTGTTACTGTGCCTTTTAAATGTCCACCTCTACTCCACTCATTAATCTAACTTAGTAGTGTCAGGAATGGACTGGCCAGCAATGGTGGGACTCACCTGCCTTTTGATCTGCAGTACCAGGGCTGGCCAGCGGATGCTCCCAGCAATCAGAGACTCAACTTTGCAGCCAGCTAACACCTGGAACTGATTATGCTGGGGTATTTAAGGGATGGCCAGACCCACAGACTCTGCCTTGGTGTTGTGTTTGTCCTGGGCCCTGTATCCTGTTTCTGTCCTGCATCCTGTTTCTGAACCACTGCTGACTTCTCCTGCTTTGATCCCGGCTCGCTCCTGACCATCCCTCTGCCTGACCCTCTGTACCACGCTGCTTGCTACCTGTTCTGATCCCTGGCTTGTGACCCTGACCATCCCTCTGCCTGACCCTCTGTACTACGCTGCTTGCTACCTGCTGAACCTGGCCTGTGACCCCGACCAATCTCCGCTTGCTCCCCCTGTACCTACCTGCCCTATTGATATTGACCCGGCCTGCCTGACGACGCTTGCTTGTATGTACTGTTATCTGTGGGTGGTTTGGTTTGGTTTGTTTGCATGCACCGTATTATGTTTTAGTATTGCACTGCGTTTATGTTTGTATTGTTAGTGTTAATAAATTATATTGTTTATAACATATCTCAGGTCTGCGTTTCTCTGCGTCAGCCACACACCTCTGGTCACACCTGGGAGCCCTGACATTACACCAAGGCCAATCCTGACCAGAAGTGGCTGCACAGGGAAGCCATCTTGGCTTGTTGCTGGGAAGGATGGATCTGGATGAGGTTGTGTATTTATATCTGCTAGTGTTTGATGACAGGGAGTATGCTTATCAAACTCTGAAGGAGTATCCCAGGGATCAACTACTAGAATGTATACGGCTCACTCATGTTCTAGTAGATCAGGGCACAGAGTTCTCTGAGGTGCAGCCTTTGATTGAGGTTTGTGCTGAGTTTGTTTCATCTGGTTCCCCCGAATGCAGGGATGAATTTTTGCCACCATTTAGTGCAGACCAGGTAGAGTCCCTGGTGTGGTTATTAGAGGATGATGTGGGTTACTTTCTGGAGCGTTATTCCACATGTTCACCACAGACACTAAGAGATTGTATAAATGCAGTGCAGTCATTGACCAGACAGGCTTTGTGTAAGCTCAGCTTTGTTCAACCCCTACTGCAGACATGGACAGATTTGTTGCACCCAGCCTCAGTCAGCTTACAAAGACCCAGTCCTGCTTCTAACTCTACTCCTGTATTCCCACCAGCTCCTCCAGTTACAGCCCAGTATACTTGGCTATCTACCGCATGTCAGTACCCTGTTCCCACTCGCTGCACCTATCCTGCCTTTAACCCTGTAAAAAAGCCCTCTGTAGCAACTGCTCCCTCTCCTGTTCCATCCTCCAGTTTTTCTCTCTGTCCAGTTTTTTCTCTGTCTCCAGCTGCTCCATTCGTTTGCAGACCTGCGTTTACTTGCAGTGCTCCAGTAGTTAAAAACCAGAAAAAAGCGAAAATTCTTTCCAACCAATACCATCCTGCCAGTATCCAAACCGGTGAACCTGCCTTCCGTGACTCAGCCTGAAGCCTCTACTCAGCCTGAAGCCTCTACTCAGCCTGAAGCCTCTCTTCAGCCTGAAGCCTCTCTTCAGCCGGAAGCCTCTCTTCAGCCGGATGCCTCTCTTCAGCCGGATGCCTCTCTTCAGCCGGATGCCTCTCCTCAGCCGGATGCCTTTCCTCAGCCGGATGCCTCTCCTCAGCCGGATGCCTCTCCTCAGCCGGATGCCTCTCCTCAGCCTGATGCCTCTCTCCTCAGCCTGATGCCTCTCCTCAGCCTGAAGCCTCTCTACTCAGCCTGATGCCTGCATTCAGCCTGATGCCGCTACTCAGCATGATGAACTGATCCAGCCCGACGATCCTATTAGGCCAGTTGACTCGATGCCCGCTGTTGATCCAGATGATCCGGTACCTGATCCAGTGCCCGCTGTCGTGCCAATTGACTTAGAGCCCGCTGTCATACCTGGTGACCCGGTGCCCACTGCCTTGCCAGATGACGCGGTGCCTGCTGGCAAGCCAAATGACCTGATGCCTGGTGACCCAGTGCCCACTGTCATACCTGGTGACCTGATGCCCGCTGTCGAGCCAGACAATCCGATACCTGATGACCCGGTGCCCACTGTCGTGCCTGTTGACTCGGAGCCCACTGTCTTGCCAGACGACTCGGTGCCCGCTGTTCCGCCAGACGACTCTGTGCCCGCAGTCTTGCCAGACGACTCGGTGCCCGCAGTCTTGCCAGACGACTCGGTGCCCGCAGTCTTGCCAGACGACTCGGTGTCTGCAGTCTTGCCAGACGACTCGATGCCCGCAGTCTTGCCAGACGACTCGGTGCCCGCAGTCTTGCCAGTTGACTCGATGCCCGCTGTTCCGCCAGTTGACTCGATGCCCGCAGTCTTGCCAGATGACTCGGTGCCCGCAGTCTTGCCAGGTGACTCGGTGCTTGCAGTCTTGCCAGGCGACTCGGTGCCCGCAGTCTTGCCAGGCGACTCGGTGCCCGCAGTCTTGCCAGACGACTCGGTGCCTGCAGTCTTGCCAGGCGACTCGGTGCCCGCAGTTCCGCCAGTTGACTCGGTGCCCGCAGTCTTGCCAGATGACTCGGTGCCCACTGTCGTGCCTGGTGACTCGGTGCCCGCCGCTTCGTCTGGGGGTCCGAGACCTGTTGCTCCGCCTGAGGGTCCGAGACCTGTCGCTCCATCTGGGGGTCCGGCGCCCGCCGCTCCGCCTGAGGGCCCGAGACCTGTTGCTCCATCTGGGGGTCCGGCGCCCCCCGCTCCGCCTGAGGGCCCGAGACCTGTAGCTCCGCCTGGGGGTCCGGCGCCCGCCTCTCCGCCTGGGGGCCCGATGCCTGTCGCCCCGCCCGGGGACCCGATGCCTGTCGCCCCGCCCGGGGGCCCGAGGCCTGCCGCCCCGCCCGGGGGCCCGGTGCCTGCCGCCCCGCCCAGGGGCCCGGTGCCTGCTGCTTCGCCTGGTAGCCCGATGTGCCTCTGCCCGGAGTCCTGCCCGATGTGCCTCTGCCCGGAGTCCTGCCCGATGTGCCTCTGCCCGGGGTCCAGCCCGATGTGCCTCTGCCCGATGTGCCTCTGCCCGGTGTGCCTCTGCCCGGTGTGCCTCTGCCCGGAGTCCAGCCCAGTGTGCCTCTGCCCGGAGTCCAGCCCGGTGTGCCTCTGCCCGGAGTCCAGCCCGGTGTGCCTCTGCCCGGAGTCCAGCCCGGTGTGCCTCTGCCCGGAGTCCAGCCCGGTGTGCCTCTGCCCCCGGAGTCCAGCCCGTGTGCCTCTGCCCGGAGTCCAGCCCGGTGTGCCTCTGCCCGGAGTCCAGCCCGGTGTGCCTCTGCCCGGAGTCCAGCCTGGTGTGCCTCTGCCCGGAGTCCAGCCCGATGTGCCTCTGCCCGGAGTCCAGCCCGATGTGCCTCTGCCCGGTGTGCCTCTGCCCGGAGTCCAGCCCGATGTGCCTCTGCCCGGAGTCCTGCCCGGTGTGCCAGTCTTTGATATCCCGCCAGTTACCAGACCCGGGCGGTGGAACATTTTTCCCAGCTAGGACTGTTTGGAGCGTCCTGAGGCCGCTCCTTGAGGGGGGGGTACTGTCAGGAATGGACTGGCCAGCAATGGTGGGACTCACCTGCCTTTTGATCTGCAGTACCAGGGCTGGCCAGCGGATGCTCCCAGCAATCAGAGACTCAACTTTGCAGCCAGCTAACACCTGGAACTGATTATGCTGGGGTATTTAAGGGATGGCCAGACCCACAGACTCTGCCTTGGTGTTGTGTTTGTCCTGGGCCCTGTATCCTGTTTCTGTCCTGCATCCTGTTTCTGAACCACTGCTGACTTCTCCTGCTTTGATCCCGGCTCGCTCCTGACCATCCCTCTGCCTGACCCTCTGTACCACGCTGCTTGCTACCTGTTCTGATCCCTGGCTTGTGACCCTGACCATCCCTCTGCCTGACCCTCTGTACTACGCTGCTTGATACCTGCTGAACCTGGCCTGTGACCCCGACCAATCTCCGCTTGCTCCCCCTGTACCTACCTGCCCTATTGATATTGACCCGGCCTGCCTGACGACGCTTGCTTGTATGTACTGTTATCTGTGGGTGGTTGGTTTGGTTTGGTTTGGTTGCACTGTATTATGTTTTAGTATTGCACTGCGTTTATGTTTGTATTGTTAGTGGTAATAAATTATATTGTTTATAACATATCTGAGGTCTGCGTTTCCCTGCGTCAGCCACACACCTCTGGTCACACCTGGGAGCCCTGACAAGTAGCACCTGTCTGAGCTCTTTTAAAGATACTTGTCCACCCCACAGTCAGTCAGACACCAACTACTACCATGGGCAGGACCAAGGAGCTATCAAAAGACACCAGAGACAAAATTGTGGACCTCCACAAGGCTGGGAAGGGCTACGGGGCAATTACCAAGCAGCTTGATGAAAATAGATCAACTGTTGGAGCAATTGTTAGAAAATGGAAGAGGCTAAAGACGACTGTCAGTCTCCCTCAGACTGGGGCTCCATGCAAGATCTCACCTCGTGGGGTATCACTGATGATAAGAAAGGTGAGGAATCAGCCCAGAACTACAAGGGAGGAGCTGGTCAATGACATGAAGAGAGCTGGGACCACAGTTTCAAAGGTCACTGTCGGTAGAACACTACGCCCTCATGGTTTCAAATCATGCATTGCACGGAAGGTTCCCCTGCTCAAGTCATCACACGTCCAGGCCCGTGTGAAGTTTGCCAATGACCATCTGGATGATCCAGAGGAGGTATGGGAGAAAGTCATGTGGTCAGATGAGACCAAAGTAGAACTTTTTGGTCTAAACTTCACTCGTTTTGTTTGGAGGAAAAAGGATGAGTTGCATCCCGACAACACCATCCCTACTGTGAAGCATGGGGGTGGTAACATCATGCTTTGGGGGTGCTTTTCTGTGAAGGGGACATGACAACTGCACTGTATTAAGGAGAGGATGAATGGGGCCATTTATTGTGAGATTTTGAGCAACAACCTCCTTCCCTTAGTCAGAGCATTGAAGATGGGTCGTGGCTGGGTCTTCCAACATGACAACGACCCGAAGCACACAGCCAGGATAACCAAGGAGTGGCTCCATAAGAAGCATATCAAGGTTCTGGAGTGGCCTAGCCAGTCTCCAGACCTAAATACAATAGAACATCTTTGGAGGGAGCTAAAACTCCGTGTTGTTCAGCGACAGCCCTGAAACCTGACAGATCTAGAGGAGATCTGTGTGGAGGAGTGGGCCAAAATCCCTGTTGCAGTGTGTGCAAACCTGGTCAAGAACTACCGAAACGTTTGACCTCTGTAATTGCAAACAAAGGCTTCTGTACCAAATATTAACACTGATTTTCTCAGGTGTTCAAATACTTATGTGCAGCAGTGCAAGACAAATAAATTCTTTAAAAATCATACAATGTGATTTCCTGATTTTTTTTTTAAATTCGGTCTCTCAGAGTGGGAATGCATCTACAATGTGAATTTCAGACCCCTCCATGATTTCTAAGTGGGAGAACTTGCAAAATCGCAGGGTGTTCAAATACTTCTGTTCCTCACTGTATGCATGCTTATACTTTTCAGAGGTCCAATATTGTTCTATGTACAATCCTTGTTTTATTGATTACATGTAATATTCTAATTTTCTGAGATTGTGGATTTGGGGTTTTTCATGAGCTGTAAGCCATAATCATCACAATTATGACAAATCACGGCTTGAACTATCTTGCTTTGCATGTAATGAGTCTAACTCATATATTAGTTTCACCTTTTATGTTGCATTACTGTAATAAATGAACTTTTGCACGATATTCTAATTTTTCGAGTTTCACCTGTATTGGTATTTGGAGTGTCCATGGTAGGGGACAGTGGAATGTTGTTAAATCTCCTTATGGAGACCTGCTCTATTTCCTATTGGTGGGTTTCCCCAGGTAAAAGAGAACATGCCAGTGTACATATGTGGAGTCTGATTAAGAACTGCACAGAAAGGTGTCACCTGTTTGGTCTCTCCAGAATGTCTAGCTAGAACTAGAGGTTACTATGCAGTCGGTGCTCCCCCATCTTGAGGAGTATGGCACTGATGGCTGAGCTCGCCAAGGAGGTTTTCTAGTGTAGCCCTCTTTTTTTTTTGGGGGGGGGGGTGGATTTATGAGAAATGACCATTCCCAAACAGGACAGTGCACAAAACCTGTAGGTAAATAAGAGAACCAGAACCCTCACTAAGTAGAAGAGTGGATTTAATAATAAAGTTGGCAGTGCCTCCACCCAGGACAGGGCATCGGTGAACAGAGGGGATTCCCTTCCTGGGAAATTAACCAATTATCAAATCAAAATAAGTGGGAGCAGAGGAACTACTTCAATATAACATCACCCACAAGTATATAGATGCACAATAGTATGAAAAGAATACAAACTTTATATAAGAAAAGATTATTATAGTACATACTGTACATCCAATGTACAAAGAGGTATCAGCAAAGGGCTGATGGGAGTCCTGGTGGAATTGTGCACATATACCTAGGCACATATAGCATATATAGTACAAAATGTGGTGTCCGTCTTGTGTCGGAGACCTAAAGGCAAGATCAGTGGTGATGGAGGGATCCTCCAATTGTTGTCCAATCAGCCTGGAATACAGCTTTTCACACACAGAAACTGGGTGTAGCACTGGAACTCAGTCATTCTATCTACTCTGTGCTTCAGCCCCGTGACGTGCAACGTGTGACGTGTGACGTGCAACCAGACCTCTAACTACCAAAAGAGGATGTCCGATGCATAACCTGGCTCTAGCCTGTAATAGTCATCAAGCCCTAAGCTAAATTTAGCTATAGAATCCCAGATCAGAAGGGACAGGGTTAACTAAAATAACAGGAGCTGCATACAAACACTATTGCAATAAACAGGTTCACCTACTAATATATTGGAAGGTGACCACTACATACATACAGTAGTACACACCTTTACTGTATGTATGTAATGTATGTATGTAAAATGTGCATGTGAGATAAGAACAATAGGAAGGAGACTTGTCCGGCACTAGGCTCTTCTTGCCTCTTCTCAGCTAGTTCTAACTAGGTTTTATGGACTTTATAAACTGTTGTATGTGGTAATCAAGGAATGGATCCACGCAATGGTAACTATGGATGGGCGGCTGTTAACACCTAACACAATCTTAAAGAGAACTGTAAAAAACAGGAAAAAGATATAGCACTGCCCCTAAGATCAATCCTTGTGAAGATGTACTAATGTTCAATTAATTATAGTGAATGTAAAATATATACAAACATTGGTACTATAATGCACCTCCCCCACTTACTAAATATCTTCTCAAATCACAAACGTACAACTGAAATAAAATAAAATGATATGAA